CATTTATCTAGATGCATATCAGAAGTAGATAGTAGATATTATAGGAAGACAGTAGATAGTAGTTCTACTTCTGTATGTAGTAGATCTACTTCTGATCAAGTTCTGATGCATATTCTGATTCATATGCATATGCATTACCTATTATCTACTCCTGATATGTATCCATGTACACATATTACATGTATGAATAGTATTGAATACATACATTCATGATACATTACGCAGGGCGCTACATTACAAATTAGCCGCCTACATACATTACGAATTAGCCGCTAGCCCGCTAGCAATTGTTTGGAAGGGCTAGTTAAATTAAAGGCCAGGCTGGCTTGCCCGTCGGGCAAGTAAACAATTCCAGACCAGATTTCGTAATTCCGCCTGTTTTAGGATATATCAGTGTATGATTAATGGGAATTTAATTGCGGTTTGTGAGCATTCAAATTCAGTCCACAATACCCTCACAAGCATCTCGGAGCATTCGTGAGATCAACAATTTGCCCGTGCAACCACTATCAACATCATGCTTTTAAGGGCTAGTTGAAAACTAGAAGGGCTAGTACAAACCTTACCTTACTAGCCCTTCGGGCTAACTTGCATATTGTCCTTATTTCTACCCCTGATTACGTACACGGTCATGGCGTCGACATGTCACACGTCACAACCGTAGAGAGGGAGGAAGAAAGGAAGAAAAGAATAGAGGAAGAGAGACAGAAAGAGTGAGCGAGAGACAGAGAGGAGTGAGAGAGGGGGAGAGAGATAGAGACAGTGGCGTAGTTAGGGAGGGGGGCAAAGGAGGCCCTGTTGATCCAAAAGTAAAAACTATAAAAAATATAATTAGAATTGTTCTACTAAAAGGAGAATTGTCATAGTCAGAATGAAGACTGTACATGTACTTAAAAGTGCCTCAAATACCACCTCCTGCGATCTACAATTTTACATTTTCAAAATTTTCTAGGGGAGGATCCCCATACCCCCGCATGTGTTTCGCTCCCCTCCTCGTAATCCTGGATCCGCCACTGAACAGATATCTAGGGAACAGAGAATAACGAACACAAATGTCGCCTTTTTTCATGGCACCCAAAACAAAGATTGCAGAGCTGAGAGGCGGGGGAGTAAAGGGCGTAGAGAGGGAAGCGGAGAAACCATTGTAATATTAAGTCATCCACTATTTTGCGCAGTTTGCTGTTTTTGGCCCCCCCTCCTTTAAAAAAATCCTGGCTATGCCACTGGATAGAGAGAGAGAGGGGGGAGACAGTTGAGAGAAGGGGGGGAGACATTGGAGAGATAGAGAGAGAGAGAGAGATATACAATAACACACCACATCACCGAGTCTCGATCAAACATGTCCGCTCAATTGTTGCAGATGATTGCAAGAACCTTGCAAGGATGTTACAGCTACTAGCACTAGAGGGCGCTGTCTTCACACCGACCTCTGACAGCCTGCGGTGACATCCAGCGTAATAATAGTGACAGTGGACAATTATAACACATGTTGACAGTGTGGAGGTGACATATGTGTTGCAGACGGCGGTGTTCAACAACAGTTCGAGTGCTAGAGCACAATTATAAACTTGCGGCGTCGCTAAGGTGATTGCTGCATCATTTCTAAATACGTCGGTTGAATACACGATTCTCGCCAGTAGCCACCGATAGATGGCGTGACGAGTCTACTATAGATGCTTCAACAGGCATCGACTCTGCTCGGTTAGTACCATTGCTTAAGCCTGGGACACAACATGCGAATTTATTCGCACGTCCGCGGCGATCATATCCGCAGCGAAAATCGCGGCGAAAATATTCGCACCCGCGTGCGATCATTGAGCGGACACACCATGCGAATTTATTCGCACGTCCGCAGCGTTCACACTACACGCGATCTACTGGCGCCACACGTCTCCATCATGGCTCCAACAGTCATGTGGGCATGTGATTAGCATACTGATCAATGATTCGCTGCATTATAACAATCGGCCATTATTCGCACTAGACTGGTACCCGTCCCTTCTCATATCAAACATGTTTGATCGCTGCAAATCGCCCGCGCTTGAGCGGACACACCAAGCGAACTTCGCTGCAATTTTACTATCGCTGCGGACGTGCGAATAAATTCTCATGGTGTGTGACGGTGTCCCCCGCTTTACTCTATCATGTGTGATGTGAGAGAAATAGAACTCAGCCAGCTTATATTTGTATCATAGTGAAATAAATTATGTATTGTTTTTAAACGTTTTCACCTCGTACGTTTTTTATTACATTTTATGGCTAATATTGTTTGTGAAATTTAGGTCGTGTTGAGGTGTAAAATCTTGGTGAGTTGATTGTGTGAGACTCGTAAAAAATGATTTTAAATCGTCATTATCTAAATTCTGGTAGCTAATGTGATTTTAATGGGCTGATCAGAAAAAGAACAAACTGTTTTGTTGTTGTTTGTGCAAACACTTACCATTATCTATCACATGTTTCCTATATCATATCATTTCACTAACTGTCTTGTCAAATAGTAATATATGTTCATTACTCTGTGGTGTCACACAGTTAATTTTACTGCTGAATATCTAAGGTTATAGCATAGTGGCAAGAACAGCAAATATAATCTATAAAATATAATCTAATACACGGAGAATATGCACAGCTATTCGAATGTAAATAGAAAATTCTCATAATTTTTGTAACAAGGATATAACACAGTAGCCACAGACATCAGAGATGGATCTGTTGGGAGTACTAGACCCCCCCACCACCACCACCACTACATAAACACACACACACACACACACACACACACACACACACACGCAGTGCACAGAG